ATATTCTATACTTTTTTATATCTATATTAGCTTGGCTTTACTGTTAAGTACATATTAAACTAACAGCATTAGCATGTTACTTAAAATATATGGATTTCACAAATGAAAATATTTTTCATTAGGTGCGCCTAACAGGCTCACATGCTTTAAACACTCTGTTAATATATTTCAGATGTATTTTTCAGCTTGAGCTTTCTCTTTGTGCTCCTGATTGAGAATGTAGTTTCATCTTTTGCCAATTTATGTCCAGATGTTCAACCTTTGCTGTGGTGAAAGCTTTCTGCTGTCTGTACTGTCAAACGCACTGAGGTCTTTATTTAGCGTCTTTGCTGTGTTCATGGGTAATTAGTTGCAAATGTGTCAAAGCAGAACGAATGAGTAGTTTTAATCTTAAAAATAACAATAATTCTAAAAAACTATGGACTCCAGTAGGTTATGTTCATCAGTGTTGTTTATAGGCCTTAATTTACTTGTTGTGGCTGCACAATTAAGTTTTTATTTATAATTCTGAAAGCTTTCCACCAGAGCTTTATGCAAGTAATTGTGTAAATCCTCTCATGAACAAAAGTACATTTTTTTTCTCCTTTCACCTTAAAACCCCATCAACATTCATGAAAAGAGTGTGTCGGTCTATAGCCATCACTAATTTCAGTTCAACCACAGAAGCGACAGGGCTTTATTTAAGAATTAGTGTTTTAAAACAAGGGCTCTGGTTGTAAAAGAGCAGTAAACAGTGTTGCATAGCAAGTTTAAAAGTATGTGCATGAATATTTTGCGTCATTTTATTGGTTTTCGAGGGATAAATAGCGCTGTTCGGAATTATTTTGTGGATGAGATGTTTTCTTGATGCAAACCTGAACCCCCAAAGGAACAATTTGACATATTAAGGAAACCAGGCCCAAAATCTGAGTGGGAGCCTTGGAAAGAAATTACCCTGCTGTCGTTTCTTCTATTTTGTTCCAGTTCTGCTTGGTAATCAACAACCTTGAAAGTTTGGTCTTCAAGGACGATACACCACATTAAAAGGCTGCTTATTACAACTATTATCCTGTTCCAGGCTCCCTTTAGAATTCAGAGAGTCTATATTTGCTCCAAATGTTTTAAGTTTTCTATCTTATGTCATTTTTATAGTTACATTACCGGGCTTTGCAAATAGGACCTAATAAGAGTTTTCAACAAGAAAGAAAAGGATCCTGCATTGAGGATGTCTACTGAGAAAAAATGAAAAAAAAATCAGCATAAACAAAAGACTATCGGGACCAGCTGTCATTTCTTAAATATCATGTTGCCAATATTTCTCCGCAATAATAACTGGCCGATTTAGAATGATGGTTTTTGCAATAGAGGATGCCAATAAAGAGAAGGGTGTTCTAAATTAAACTGTTCTACGTATCCAACATATAATAATGAGTAGAACTATAAATGTAAAATATTTAGACTTGATTTTAACCCCTTTCTGTATTGTTCAATTTAAGGCTAATATTTCTGCAATCGAATTTTGGATTATTTTTTGTTTGAATAGAACCACAACTTCTATTATAGCACGTTGCCTTTCCATTACTAGTGTGGCCTGCTTTTGGTTTTGCCAGAGGGTAGATGATGTTTGCATCAGATATAATGGCCAGCTAAGGGGCCGGTTTGCCTACTGTAAACACGCCAAGGGGGAGAAACACAAGCATTTATTTCAGCACTGCTGTTTTGGGCAAACACAGACCACCCTGTCAACAGAGCAGTCGCTAAAATTCTCACACCAGCTGGTCTGTCAGAAGAACTGTGACACAAATTAGCCTGATCACTCATCTGATGCAGCCTATCACTGACGACTACTCATTCACTGCTCTGACAGGATGACCATACTGTAGCTGAAGCTTTCCTTTGAAACACATTCAGATTGGAAGGTAAACCGTGAAAAGTCTGGGAGCACAGTAAATATTTTTAAAAGAGCAATTCAGTATGTCTAATAAGCAGTCATGCTCATTTCAACTGTATTCAATCTCTATTTCAAGGTCTCCTCAGGTGGTTGCATGCTGAGTTGGGCAACCTGCCCAGTCCTAGATAAAATAATTACCCAGGCATTGTGGCTAATGTGGAAATATGGGCAGAAAGAGGAAAATTGGCCAGCAGTTTTTGGAGCTCACACAGCAACTGCTCATCCCTATACAGTTGGTCCTTCTCTCTGGAAACGGTGCCAGGATTCAGATTTGGAGAGCTGGTATTTATGGTCTCAAAGCTCTTGGACATATTCATTGCAGACATTTCATTCTTTTACATCGAGTCAATTTTAAGAAGCAGTGATAAGCTTGCTTGTGTCTTTAAAATGCTCAATTTTTAACATACTAGGAATCTGTCTTTTTCATTTAGCTGTAGAGCTAAGTACCGAAATATGGCGAGCAGGGATTTCAAAGTGCTTTTTTCCACCTGCTGGTTGCATAATGTACAATATTTATAAAGTGTTAGGTTTATCTCAGGATCTTTGCCATTTAGTTAGGTAACAGTAAGCATGCTCTAAATCCGACTGTATTTCTGTCTGATCATTTCAGATTAAAAAGGTATTCAATGTCATTCATATTTAACTACCTGTTTTGTATTTTATTTTCACCAAGCCAGAGTATTATGAAAGAGTGTTCCAATATTGAATCCTCTTTCAGTGCAGTTTTTAATGTTTAATGCTGAATAGAAAGTCTAAATTAAAAAATTTAAACCAAACATGCCCCTTCGACCTTGACGAAGATAAGCAGGTATGGATGCATGGATGGAATTGTATGTAAAATGTACATGTAAAAAAAACTTTACGAAGTATTAATCCGAAAATTGTGGATTTGTTTATTTGTTATTCCTTTGTTATTTTACTGCTGCTTTTATTTCTACAACTTAACTATATCTCAAAGATAGTTCTTATTTTATAGGTTGTATACTTGTGGGGTATACCAAGATTATTTTTTTCTAGGTGATTTGATATTTTAAGCTGCAATGTGCCGTCCAATGGCATGCCACATTTTACAGACGTGTGTACGTGTTTCTTGCAAAGTGATGCCAACATCACTGGCAGTTCTGGCTTCACTCCAGCCCTCTCCAGTATGGCTTCGTTGCTGTTATTCCTGATTTCCTTCACTAAGGAAACTTGAGTCGCACTTGAGGCTCCCGAATGGCCCAAGAAATTGCTCACTTGACACATAAATGCCCCTGAGGTGTAGACAAAACGTCAATGTAATCTGTGGTCAGGATGGATCAGGATGAAGCCATACCCTGATATTTTTACTCACTAGTGCTCTTCACTCACACAAATCGAGGGCCATTTCGTTTCGAGAGACTCTCTCAAAACACACGAAGAATTTTCCATCGGTGTCACTCTATAGCAGAAGAAAACCTGTTGTTTGAATGTAGCTGACCCGCTGCATTTAGTCCTTGTAAGCAATAAACTTTGAAGTATCTAAATTTACATTTGGCCTCCAAATAGGCAGTTAATGAGGACTTGAGGAACAAGAAATGAGAATGAGATTTTCAGCTGTAAATTTTTGCAGTGAGGAGGCGCAGGCCTGAAGTGAGATGGAAAGTGCTCCAGTCATTAGCGTTTCCCCTAGAATTTGTGTCAGCAGCAGTGGCAGCAGATTCTCCATGACCCCAAAAAGGCAAGCAGACTGCGGTGGGGGTTGGGCTGGGAATTAGCGATGCAGCAAATAGTGCATATTCACACATTCAATATTTGCTGTGTGCTCCTACATTCATCTTGCTAATTCTTGCCATTAGTTTTGTTGTCCCGGACAATTTCCAGCATATATATATATATATATATATATATATATATATATATATGTGTGTGTGTGTGTGTGTGTGTTATGGAAGCACAGCTTTTTCCTGCAGTTTCGTAGAGCAGCAGCTGTTGGATACAAGAAAGGTAGTGGCTGGTGTGCACATGTGTGTGAATTTGTGTTTTGGGGAGGGGGGGGGCATTCTAATAAGAAAAACCCTTTGTGTTGAATGTTAAACAACAAATACTCATTGGAAATAGATGAAATTGCTTTATAGCTTCCATTCCATTATGTGCTGTTGTGGGCAGTGGGCTTCTCAGGGTGATGTGTCAGGGAATTATGCAAAAACATTCCTGAATTTAAATGATCAAAGGTTCAAAAGAACAGAGACTGAAGAAAAAAATGTGAGTACAAACTGTTACTTTCATTGCAGCCTTTCATGAAAATATATTGAAATATTTGTTTTTTTTCCCCCAGTAACCTTTGTCTGAAAAATGGAGCACACCAGACACACATGACTACAAAATAACAGTTATCTTTTGAAAGGAGAGTAATACAGTCGTGGTTCTGATGTTTCAAAAAGTCATCTTTGTTACTCATTTGCATTTAGATAATAGAAGTTACACTTGCCAGTACATCTGTCAGGACATCTATTTTTTACAGAAGTTTTAAAATAGCACACCTAAGACTGACAGGTTTCTTTTTTTGAATAAATATTTCTGATATAGAGTGTTAATTGAAATGCAAATCAAGGGCATTTTATATTTAATCAACAAATGCATTTTAATCTACATCCATTTTAAAACAGAGGGTGGAGAAACACTGTTTTCTCCATAAATGAAAGGCAGTGATGTTACGCGAAGGAATAAAGCCTTGCTGGTACAGTATATCAGACCCGGCAGGGAAAGTGTGATTCCCTTAAAGTAATTATAAATACCCCCACAGAGGATGCCTCATGATATACTGTGAACTCATTACTGACATTTCTAAATCACTGCTTGTTTTCTGACACAGATAACATCTTCTGCTGTTTTATTGCTCATCTCTTATATACGTCTCCAGAGATGAAAATGCTATCAGCGAAAATACATTATATCCTTTTATTGTAACTGTTGTCTTTTTTAAGCTCAAATCATCCTTTTGATTTTTAGAGTTGTCTAACATCTAAAAGGCAGAATATAACTATTTTTTCAAACAATGTTGCTTTTTATTGCCAGTGGTGATCTTAGCTGCAAACATTTGTCTCTTCAGGGACCTGATGCCATCGACACTGGAGGGCCAGATTACCATGGAGAAGACACCCAGCTACTTTGTGACTAACAGTGCCCCCAAACGCATCCATTCTATGGCGAAAGACACCAAACTCATCATCGTGGTCCGCAACCCTGTGACTAGAGCCATATCCGACTACACACAGACTCTCTCCAAGAGACCAGAGATCCCGACCTTTGAGGTCCTGGCTTTTAAGAACAGGACCCTGGGTCTGATTGATGCCTCATGGAGTGCCCTGAGAATTGGAATATATGCACTGCACCTGGAAAGCTGGATGCAGTATTTTCCACTGTCCCAGATACACTTTGTCAGTGGAGAGAGGCTTATTGTTGATCCAGGTGGGGAGCTGGCCAGAGTGCAGGACTTTCTTGGACTGAAGCGCATTGTGACAGATAAACATTTCTATTTCAACAAAACCAAGGGATTCCCATGCTTGAAGAAACCAGAGGACAGCAGTGCACCACGGTGCCTCGGCAAGTCCAAGGGCAGAACTCATCCCAAAATAGACTCCGACGTGATACACAGACTACACAAGTTTTACAAACCCTTTAATATGATGTTTTATCAAATGACAGGGCAGAACTTCCAGTGGGAGCAAGAGGAGATGCAGTGAGTGTTTCTCAGGCCTGCAAGACTTTCAGCACTGCCAGCTGGCCCACGATTTCCCATGATGCAAAGAATCTGACTATCATCCCTCACTACACAAATGGTCCGTGTCAAAAGCAAAACTTACCTGTAATCTGCACTGTAGTTTCAGTGGCCATAGTGGCATCCATAATTGTAAATAATATTTGTAAATGAAAGATTATTTTATATTTCATTTTCAAAATATTTAGGGGTACAAAAATCGAGGCAAAAATGTGCAACAGTTCATGCTAAGTGTCCTTAATAAGTGATTTGCTTCTTGAACATAATGAATTCCAAGAAAAGAACAACATTGCTTTGTCAACTTTGTTCTTCTATTAGAAAGGCAATGATGGGGTTAAATGTGCATTTCATTTGAGGCATGTCATTTAAGACTGAAATGTGTAATTGCGTATTTCATATTTGCACTGGTTAAGAATACTCAGAGTGTCATTTAATGGTCATACTATTGCTTTTCATTTACATCGCATTATGTGGTATCTGTCTCTGAGTTCTGCACAACGTGAGACAATCAATATTGGTGTGATGTTTGTCAATGGTGGCCCTGGCGTCGATGCCTCTGCCTTGGCCATGCGAGATTGATTCGGCTCACTGTGGCCCCCCATGTTTCGTTACTCAGGTGTGTCGAGTCAGTCTGCTGGTACTGCAAGGAATCAGATCAATCCACTGAAGCTCTCGCTGCCCTTGAGAGCATCTGAATGCCAGGAACCCACCTTTTACATCACAAGGCAGTGCTGTACAGTCAACCGTAAGACACATATGCTGTGTAATTGTCTAATGTATTCTATTTAGTATTTCCAGAAAATTTATATTTCTGTTTGTAAGCCTACCGCTGCAGTAAAGTTGCATGCCGTACTGGAAGCAGATCATGGACACTGAATAAAACGATTCAACAGATGTTTATTGATTTAAAAATTGATTAAACTGCAGATTATAATAAAATATTAAATATATACATATATTTTTAAAACAAGGTTTATGTTATGTCTATAGTACTAAAGGAATCCCAAGATATATTGCTATGTGTTTAACTCGGTAATGTAACCACTGTACTACATAAACCCTCACATGACCAAAAAACATAAATATATATTTATTTCTTAATAGTACACAGTTAACATATCTAAACTGAAGCACAGAATTATTTCTTATTTGACTCACGGCTAATACGTTTCAGTTCAGATTCTGAAATGTAACAGTTTACACAGTGCATTCTACTGCAAGAATATTATTCAGTGCTCAGGAAATCAGAACAAGAACTGAAAAACAGAGAAAAGGAAATTTAAAAATCAAAATTCAATTGCTAATTATTTTCACTTCAAAATATGTTCCATGTTTTTTTTTTTTTAAATAATGTCTGTCACTCTTGATTCGTCAGCAATCACATATTGGACTAGAGCTAAGGATATTGATTCCGAATTGTTGCACATGTGTATTAAAATGTCTGAATAAGCATTTTTAAAGAAAATAATATTATTTAAGGCAGCATTTCAAAAGTCAGATTTTTCCCCACATAAAATATGGTAATGATATTTTTTTCTCATATCTTGTAGTAACACATGCTGGGATGTATATTTAACTAATATGCTCAATCAAATGTGTGTCTTCATGGAGCAAGTGCTTTCGTCTCATAAGTGTTTCAGTTTAATGGTCTTATAAAAGAATGCTATTAATCAAATTGAACTGAGAGGAAATCAAGCTTGACTGACCAAATGAACTGTGTGTATAATAAAGTGTATAATAACCATATAATAACATATTAATATATTAATATCATGCTTATGGATTTTAATGTTATGAATAAAAGGCAAATGGATCATGTACTACCTACATAGCAACATATTATTCTGCAGTTTTTGTTGGCTTATTATCTGTTTGTGCATGGATGCTCGTGGCCCTGCCCTGTGCAGGAAGGACCTTTACGGAATGTTTTCCCAAGTTACACAGATGACAGGTTATGTCTTTCCCTGCAAATCACATTGTGCATAAAGGCTAGGGATAATGCGCTCATCTCCCACTGCTAATCTCTAGAAAATACTGTCATAGCTACGACTGGAGACTCTTACTTACAGTAGTAGTAGTTTTATAGCTACACAACTATGATCACAACCAACTCGGATGACTGTTAAAGTCTCATTAACAATGTAAAATGATTCAGTTATAATTCATTTGTAATGGAAGTGTCAATTGCTGTCTCCCTATGAAATAAATCTTATTGTACTGATTACCAGTCTAAGTCTAAAAACATGCAGATAAATGTTCTTACAACATCTTCTTGGACTAGTCTATTCATCGTCCTTTCAAATAAAATGATACGTTATGAAAGAAAATTCTGTTCCATTGATAGGTACAAATCATTGTCTTCTTGGAACTCCTGTGTGATAAGGGGTGATAAGGAATGTATGTGGTTTAGAAGGAAAATTGAACACCTGCCCTTCTGTATTACTCAATGATACGTGGATTTGAGAACCTCAGTAATATGACTGCTCATGGCTTGCTTAATAAGGGTGATGGAGAGATACATTTTAAAAATCACGAAGAAATCCTCATTCCAATAGACCATCTGAGTTTCTTGGCTGTCATTTCTGCAAGGAATGCTCAAGATGTATTATTCCCTGTCAATTATTTTATAACTAGAGACAGTGAAAAATAGGTTACTGTGAAATCCCTCAAGTGAATTTTACAACAATCAATTCAATAAAACATACTTACAGCATGAATGTCTACTTGTACTCTTACATGCATTATTCTTATTATTATTATTATTATTATTATTATTATTATTATTATTATTAAGCAAGCAGAAATTGTTCATATTCCATCCATGCTGTTCCCCAGCCTTGTGCTCTACGCTGTCCCCAGGATCGCCCCAAAACCCTGTGCTGGATGGATTGTCCAATGGATGAAACCTGTGGTCTGGAAGCTATAGATACAATGGCATGCAAAAGTTTGGGCACCCTTGCTTAAAATGTCTGTCACAGTGATGAAATGATCACCAAAAGGCATTAAGTTAAAGATCACACATATCTTTAATATTTTAAGCAGGATTACATGTTTATTTCCATCAATCACAGGTACAAAATACCAAAACAATTAAAAGAAGCAAGGGTGCCCAAACTTGCAGCCCAAATGCACAGCCATCTGTTACCAAGAAACAATGCATATTTGCATTAATGTATATTGCAGGGTCCAATAGTGCAGAAGATTTACTCTGCATATTGACCTTTTATACAGGAGATCATGAAAATAATCTAAAATGAGAACAGGTAAACATTAAACATTGCTATAATTTTTATACTGTATGAATAGCTCTTTAACCCCCTTTAGAAATATTCCCCTGAAGCAAACATTAGGTATATGGATTTTGCATAGCATTTTTTCCTAGAAGCAAAAGGTTAAAACGTGACTCAGTTTGGTACAACAGAATGTCAGAATGTGCCTTCTTAAATGAAATCATCAGGGGTTCAGGTGGGGTAGAGAGTGGAAATTGAAAACTGGTGATGTTTGATTCCTTAGGTTTAATGTGAGGTCTGATGACCTCCAACTGGTAGCCAATAGATGCAGACTATGCGAACATAATACAAACCATTTTGGATTAGCCAAATAGGTTTGATGGGCATCTTTTGTCAAATATTGTAATGTAGGAATATGTTACAAAAGAAAGTAAGCTTTTTATCACTGATGATAAAATACTTTTGACAGCTCTCATTATGTCACCATTAGCTTATGTGGTGTGGTGTGATAGTGAACTTCCAGTATGACTGGAATATTTTTTGACAGATTAAGTTGGAGGTGCTGGTCTAATATCCAGGAACAGATGTTGGCAAGACATGTTACAATTTTGGGAAAAGGGACAAGCGATAGTCACATTTTATAAGAGCAGAATTTAAAATGGGTAGAGGCGACAGAGCCCAAAAAAGTAGTATTAAATGAATAAAATGGAGGATCTTCTGCTGATTCCTGTGGGAAAAATTTTACATGCAGAACATTCTACTAGACCACCTAGTAGAACTTACCTGAGGATTCATTACATGTCATGGCAATTCCTTTGACTTCAGGCTTAGCAAGAGGGCTGAAGTCGGATTTCATGATTGCCCAAGAGGCTCCTGTAAAGCAGTGGAGAGCTTTGGAAATTGCTAGGAGAGCAGTCTCAGTTCAAGGTGTACAATTTTGATGATGGAATGAACAGATGATATAGAGAACATATTTAAGTTTTCAATAGGTATAAACAATTTACCGTTGCTTCCGGGATGGGCTCCGGACCCCCGGCGACCCAGTGGGATAAGCGGGTTGGACAATGGATGGATTGATGGATAAACAATTTACATCAGAAGTCTTTTTTATCTCTTTGTGTACAGTATATGCTGACTAAAGAAATTAATAGTCTCTGCAGCTGCTATTAACCATTAACGCATTCAAAGAAAATAAATATGCAGTTGAGAATGAAGATGCCTACTTAATAAAACATAAGAAATTATTTTCTTCGGGAAGTTTGAGTTTTGTCTACAATACTTTTGAAGAAAAATGGAACATTAAGAAATAAAACACTATTGGTAAATTCTAATTTAGTGTTGCACAGCTCCACAGTTTAAGAACTGGTGCCTGGAAGCTGGGAAGTTCAAATTCTTTGGCCTGGCAGAGTAATAATATCACCACTGCAGCCTTGAATAAGGCCTTTAACCCCAGCTGCTCCAGGGAGGATGGCTGACCCTGTGCTCTGACCCCAAGCTTGTATATTGCTTTGGGCAAAAATGTCTGCTAAATAAGCAAATGTAATTAGGGAGCAAGAATAATCACCTCCAAACCATTACTTCATTAGCACATAATTTGAATTGTTAAACATCATAAACCCCTATTTTTCATCATCAGAATATTGCAAAATGCTATTTGGCAGATTTCCTTATCATTAAGGATGTGGAAGTTTTTTTTTTTTACTAATATGTAATGTTTACTAATAATTAAGGGCAGATTGCTTTCATACTTGACGGATATTTGGACCACCTCTTCGTGAAACTAAAGGTTTAATAAATGTTTATATATAATTGAGAATTACATGTAAGATATAGAAAATGACTACTGTTTACTACAGCTTCTAAATATTCCCATGCATCTTCCTTAACAGCTTGTCATCTGCAGGGTCGTGGGAGTCCAGAAGCTATGGGCACAAGGCAGGGAATTATCCAGTACAGGGCACCAACCAGTGATGTAGTCATGACCACCTAAACTGAGACCAATTCTTTACCAAGACCAGCGTGTATCAAGACTGAGGCAAGTCCAAGACCAAGGCAGAGCGAGACTACATTAATATATATTAATAACAAACATTATATACTAATAACAAACATTATAATTGTATAATCATGCAATGCTTGTTATTAATGTATATTAAAGCTGTAAAGGGATGTTAGGATGTTAAGGTGTACTTGCATGCTGTTTATGAATGTTCTATGAATGAATTATGAATGCATTATGAAGGTGCACTGAACGTTCTATGAATGCATCATGAAGGTGTGCTTAATGTAAAGCGTTACCGAATATTAAGCCGTTGTGATAAATATTGAGGCGTTTTGATGAGTGGTCTTCACTGGTCTTGTAATAAAACCTCGAGTCCTCTATGTCCAAGACCGAGACAAGACCGAGTCAAAATAAAGTTGATTCTGAGGCAAGACCAAGACCACAAAAAAGTGGTCTCAAGACCAAGACCAGTCTCAAGTACTACAACACTAGTACCAACTGTAATTCCCAGTTCTGATTTGCTGCCTGCACCACAACCATGTTCCCTTTCTGGTTCACTCTCCTCAGAATACTGACAGCTACAACTCAGTGCCGTACTCTTCTAGGTGCTATATAACTACTCAAACCACTTTACCAATTGTGTGGAATTGCCCCCTGTGCAATTACTGAGTGTTCTTCTATCTCCCCAGTTTCTCCCGATTGCCTGAATTTTCTACCATGTACTTCTGTGTCCTTGCGATCCCCAATCCTGCCCGTTGAGCATGATTCCTGCAAGTTTGTGTCTCTGCTTCCCAGTAACTGCACGTGTTCCTGCCTTTCCCTGCACCCCAGGAGAGATTTTTTGGCTCACCAGCCTCAGGTCATACCTAGACTAGATTTCCCCTCTCTTGTCTGCAGCTCGCTGATCTCCCAAGCTTTACACCTTTGCAGAATTTGTCAATCATGTAGTAAAACTGCATAAGTAATATACTATGAATTTAACTAATTAAATCAATTTAGTTTTCTTAATAAAATGATGCTTTATTTGCTATTTGCACATGTACAGCATAATTCCTCAGGTTTCATAGCCCATATTCACATGGGCCCACACAGTTAAGAGCAAAACTGCTCTCAGGTCCCTTCCGTTTGACACATGCACAGAGAACAAAGAAAAATATTCTTTATCCATTACACGAGTTTTCAACGTGTAGTTTATCTGTTTATTGTGTTTGAAAAAAAATGTCCTACGTATATACAGTTAGGTCCATATATATTGTTTACTGCAATATATTTCAATTGAAGTTATACAATGGGTATGGATTTAAAGTGCAGACTCTCAGATTTCATTTCAGGGTATCCACATTCAAACTGGATGAAGTTAATGAGTTTCAGCTCATTAACATCTCCCACCCTCTTTTTAAAGGGGCCAAAAGTAATTGGACAATTCACTTAAAAGCTATTTCATAGACAGGTGTGGGCAGTTCCTTCATTCTTTCATTATCAATTAAGCAGATAAAAGCCGTGGAGTTGATTTGAGGTGTCTTGTTTGCATTTGGAAGATTGAGGTGTGAACATACAACGTGCGGTCAAAGAAACAGGCCATCCTTAGGCTGTGAAAACAAAAAAAAACAATTTGAGAAATTGCCACAACATTAGGAGTGGCAAAATCCACAGTTTGGTACATCCTGAGAAAGAAAGAAAGAAAGCTTTGGTGAACTCAGCAACGCAAAACGGCCTGGACGTCCACAGACGACAACAGTGGTGGATGATTGCAGAATGATTTCCATGGTGAAGAGAAACCCCTTCATAACAGCCAACCAAGTGAACAACACTCTCCAGGAGGTAGACGTATCAATATCCAAGTCTACCATAAAGAGAAGACTGCATGAAAGCAAATACAGAGGGTTCACTGCAAGATGCAAGACATTCATAAGCCTTAAGAATAGAAAGGCTAGATTGGACTTTGCAAAAAAACATCCAAAAAAAACCAGCACAGTTCTGGAACAGCATTCTTTGGACAGATGAAACTACAGTAATATCAACCTGTATCAGAATGGTGGAAAGAAAAAAGTATGGAGAAGGGCTGGAACAGCTTATCATCCAAAGAACACCACATCACCTGTAAAACATGGTGGAGGCAGTGTGATGGCTTGGGCGTGCATGGCTGCCAGTGGCACTGGGTCTTTAGTGTTTCTTGATGATGTGACACAGGATGGAAGCAGCTGAATGAATGCTGAGGTGTTCAGAGACATCATGTCTGCTCAAATCCAGCCAAATTGATTGGGCGGCGTTTCATCATACAGATGGACAATGACCCAAAACACACAGCAAAAGCAACCCAGGACTTTATTAAAG